CACACACACACACACACACACACACACACACACACACACACACACACACACACACACACACACACGGAGGGCGAGAGGAAGGAGGAACACACGCCAGAGCCTCCGCTGCCTGGTCAGCACACGCGAAAGAAATCCACTTCCTTGTTCGGTGTCAAGTATATACGGACGTTACACATAGATTGTGTTTTAAAATAATACTTGACCATTTTTAAAATTACCAGTGGATAAAAAAAAAAAAAAAAAAGCAAAGCTTGAAATCCAGCCGGTTCCCATTTGGTTCATTAATATCCCGCATCTGGGCTTTCAGAACCCATGACACCTCCTTCCTGACTCATATTGTGGTGTGAGGTTGGCGTCTACGCCCTGGAATTATTTCCTATTAGCGCACGGTTCCTTCAAAAGTACAATGTGGTTTTGGGGAATGAGTGATGCACTCACAAATGGAGCCAGGCCATATCCTGAAGGTCGGGATTTACCAAACACACAATTTGCGTCCTCTCCAGCTGGAGAGACCCATTTTTTTTTTTTGTCAGTGTCAGCTAACATTCCGCCACCGTTACGGCTTTTTCCGCAAGTCGGCTCTAAAGGACATATGAACACACCCAAGCGATCGTTGACAGGAAACCAAAATGATTCCAACCCGGTGCCGACGCGTGAAAAACGGGGTCCGCGCTCAGCGTGTGTTGAGCAAATAGGAAAAGGCAGCTGTGATATTTGGAGGAGACAGACGATCCACGTCCGAGAGACACTTATCTGTTTTTGCCTTTTACCTCAACATCTCAACATAGGAACAGGAGGATCTGATTGCTCTCTATGGGCCGTTGAGAGTTCGGACAAGGTTTGTGGGGACTGAGGAGGTTAGTTTGAGTTCGAAACCCGACACCGTGAGTGGAACCTCTGGTTGGGGACAAGCGCCCTCTTCAAACGGGCTGTTTGATGCTGATGACAGAGCAGTGACGGGCTGGGTTTTGGTTCACCCCGAGGCTTTGGCTTGTCTTTCACTGGAGAAGAACCCCTGGGCATAATCAACAATGGATTTCCCTCTGTTCTCTTTTGTGGGGCATCATTTCACTCCATGACTGCGTGCTCCTTTACAAAACAAACTTTTTTTTGTTTGTTTTTTTGCGGTGCTTGTTGGAAGAAGGCCAGCCTTTCTACACTGTGACTGTTTTGATCTGGTTTTGTTTGACTGGCATTGCGGCGTTCGAAAGACAATAGCATAAAGCGAAGCCACAGGCTCGGGCACAAAGGAGTGCAGAGGACGTATCCACAAGAAAGAGACATGAGAGGAAAGTGCAGCCGAATGGAACTATTAGCAGAGAGCAAAACCTAGCGGACGGCAGCCTGGACTGATGGCCGCTCAATCACAGGTTGTTGGAATTGGGGCCCTGAGTTGAAAGTCATCGATGTGAACCATTACGCTCTGAACAACAATGCTGAAATGAAAAAGTTGACGCACTGAGACAGCCAACGCTGTCCAATTTAGTCGGGATGGGCCAGCTTTATTTGAGTGAAGCGAGTACTTGTGGAGTGTGCGGATATCAGCCACTGATATTAAAGGCAAACAAAATCTGACATTAAATAAGTCCTCCTTGGCAGGATTTGCGAATATGCTACACATCGGCAAATCATCATCTGCGTCGGAAAGTCTTTTTTGCCATTGTATTAAATTCAATATTATACAAAGTGCAAGAGGTTTCGGTATCGATCCGAAAAAAATCTGGATCGAACATCCCGACAATTTACAGTTAAAAGTCAGCACAAAGGCTCGAAGAATGGAATCTGCAGTTGGCTCAGCTACTACCCCCCACCTTCAACAAAAACGGCAGCTTGCTTCTCCCCACCTGCCCCCACCCTCCTCTCACTGCTAAGAGGTCAAATGTCAGAGGTCCCCCATCTGATTGTGATGATAATGTAACTCTGGCTGCAGGGCGAGGGGTGGGGCTACGCCGCAGGAGAGAATGTCTCCGGACGCTGCAACTGGTGGATGAAGAAGGGGTGAGTGTGTGTTGGGGGGGGGAGATGGTCTTGTCCAGAGGGAATGCCATGTCATATTTCCTGTAATCCCTTGTCTGCTGCTCTGAAAACACAGCGCTCGCTCTGAAACGCAGGATCCCCGTCGTCTTGGTAACGGCACAGACGAAAGAGCAAGCCTGACACTCAACCAATCACCCGCCCACCCCTCGGCACCCAGGGCTATTTGTCATGGCTTGGCTGGGTTTATTTAGAGGCAAATTAACTATGTCTGGAATCTTGGGGGTCAGGACAAAAAAAAAAAAAAAAATGAAACGTGGCACATAGAAGGCGACTGGGGCGAGGGCCTGAGACCAGAGGCGACGATGACCCAAAAGTATAACGGGGAAGGTTCGAATCCCTCTGGAGTCGGGGAGATTTGACTCGAGCGGCAAGGCCAAGGGTTGTCAAAAGGTTTACATAGCCACTGTTGTTTGAGGCTCGAGATCAGCTATTGGGTCGAACCGCGTCACGCAGTTGGTACTAACGCCTGATCATTTTGTTTGTCTCCCCTCTGGAATATGCATCGAGCTTGCCCGCCAAAACACACATTCTTTCGTCTAGACTCGACTCACGGCCAGCCTGCTTCTCCCGTAAGACACAAACTCAACAGATACCGGCGCACAACTCGGTCCCGGCGACACCTAAACAACTCCTTA